TCTATGATTCTATGAAATAAAGTTTCTGTGAAGGTTGATATTTAAGTTCCCAAAACCTTCTATTCTGTCAGAATTAGAAAGACAGCACTGAGAGGAGAAGGGTAATGTACAAAAACATTTAATGGAATCTTATGCAACATTTCTCTGCTAGTTTAGTCTTCCCAAATTGTTCAGAGTTTTGGTTAAACTGATTAGGTCAAATAATGTCAATAAATGTTTAATTCCTCTTTGGTATCTGTTTGCTGCAGGTGTTGACAAGCATGGAGTTGTGCCTGATTTATTAGTAGAGCCAACCCATAAAGCTGTGGTGGAGTACAGCTGGGCTTTCATTTCAGTTCCTCAGTACTGGGGTGTGGGTGGTGGGGGAAATGGTAAAACCAGTGCCCCTTGAACAGAACTTGAAAAAAGTATCCTGTGATAGACAAAATGTTACACCTGAGTGATCTCTTTACCAGACTGCAAAGCAGATGCCATGCAAAATTCAAGGCCTAATGTACCACTCCTTATCAAAGATACCCATAAGGATGCTTCTGTCAAATTGGACATGTAAATCTTTTTTTATATGTCTCATAGTGTTTCCTAAGCTAAGCCCTTTTTAGCAAGGAAGACACTAAATGATTCCTTTCAGGTTCATGATTTTATTATAATTCATCTTGCTAATCTTGTTCTGACATTGATATGTGGAATCACCCATTTCTCCAGCTATGATGTGAGGGCACAGATATTTAGTTTTTAAAAATAATTATATCATAATGATTTGTTGACTACTAAATTATATGGAGACCAACTGCTTCCTGAAAAGGCATACCCTTCAAGTTTAAGCAATCTTACTTCATTATTTGTATGTCTTATAAGAAATTCTCAGAGAAGGCTGCTGCTATATTGTTGAAATTTAAGCTTTTGCAGTTGTCAAGTCTTTGTCATTTATGTATGCTGCTTAGAATTGGGAATTCAACTCTAAAATTATTTCAAAACAGAAAAAAATACATCTGAAAAAGTCACAGTAACTGTTCTGAAAGATGCATGAGAGTGTAAGGATACCAAATCCTGTAAAAACTTGCCAGCATATTTAGGTTCTTTCAAAACTCCAGTTTTAGGATGCATTTTTCATGTCTTAATATTTGTTGGTATCTTGATCCTAAAGAACTACCACTGAAGGTTATTACACTACTATAAGGAAGACTCTAAGAAAGTTTGTCCATGGACATCAAATTCATAGGGCTCAGGGTGTTCTTCCCTTCAAATCAGTTTGTTATACAAATTCTGCATCATACTTCTAACTGCTCCTGGAGCTGTGGAACTGATAGTATGGCACAGCACATCGATGAGAAAGGCCACATTTTTGGAACAGGCACAAGAAATTTGTTGAACAGAGTACCTGCCCTATTATCTTTTTGTCGTCTCCAGTCTGGGTTAGAATATCTTACACCATGTGCAATGTCCATTGGGGAAAATCTCTCCCACAGTTCAAAGTTCTTGACCTTATCAGAAACTCCTGGAGAAGTGGAGATAGGCAATTCACAGACTTCTGATTGCTTCTTTCCTACATTCCCATCTTAGAGAATAAAATCCTTTTTTGCATCTGAACATTTTTTACTGAAAATATCAACTTTGTCCCCCAATCCAGCAGCAGTACTTAATTTCTGCAAATAATGTAATTCATTGGAGTAATGTTGCACAACAGTGAAGCAACAAACTGACTTCTCTTTGCCCTACCACTCTTGCTATGGTTAGACCTTTTAGCCACATCATAAGAAGATTTGGGGGAGGGGAGGAAAACCAGTTATTCCCTTATGTCACATGAATATGCAAGACAGCCCGTGATAGAAGTGTTATTTTTAGGAATTAAATTGTTGAGAAAACAGAATAATTAGGCTCTTGGAGTGGCATGCATAAAAGTTCAATTCTTATGTGCAGATCTCTTACTTACAAAATAAAGAATTCACATATAGGCACAAGCTTTGGCAAAAGGAAGCTTAGAATCCTCTGAATGAAAAGTCCTATAAAAATCTATTCTTATACACCGTTTCTGTCTTTGATCTGGTGTTTTGGAAGCAGCAGCAAGAAATAATGTCAAAAAAGACAGTAATTAATGATGCTAGGAATTAATCACAGCTGGAGTATGTATGAACTTTAGGTGACAGCACTCAGGCAAGCTTGCAATAAAATCAATTCATGCCTAAACAAGGTTGGTTTTTTTGTGTGCGTTTGGTTGGTTGGTTGGTTGGTTTTTTGTTTGTTTTTCCTTGGTTTGCTTTTTACAGACGATCAAAAAAGTTCTGTCCCTGAAGTCATTGGGATGAAATCAAAGAAACTGGATCAAGATACGGGAACTGGGAAAGCAGCTTGTTTGGCAAGAAATTACTATACAAAGAACATCAGCTTGGAGATGTCCCCTGGTGAGGTTGTATATGAACAGAGTGCATCCATTTTGACATCAGAAGGGTCTTACAATGCTATTAAGGTGGTGAATGTGGCAAATAGCCCAGAGGTGACCTGCATGGCCAAATACAATGGAAGCACTATTACAGTCAACATAACATCGCCAGGTACTGTTCTTTGGTACAGCTGCAACTTATCTCTTGAGGCTTGTCTCCTAGTCCTTGCTATTTCTCCTGCTAGTAAGCATTGCCCTGGGTAACCAGTAGCAATTGGAAAGACAACTGATACAAAAGCAGGTAGAGCTGAAAGCAACTAAAATTAGTGGTCTTAACTGTTTTAATTTAGATGGATTGTGTTTGTCATCATGAAGTTCATTCAAACAGTAAACCCAAAGCATCTCAGGAATTCTTTTGTTTCCTGCAATTGCATGGAGAAATTTTCTCCTTAAATTAATGTTAGAATTAGTGACTGGTCATCTGAGCCTCATACTGAGCTACCCAAATGTTCCTATGGGAAAGATCATACAAACATTTTGTTTAATAATTTTTAAGGTTTTGATATAGTTTATAATGCCTTTTCTTTATCATGTTACAGAAAGGAAGTCTGAAGAATCAGAAACACAGAAAGTTTGCAACACCACAGACACCTCTGCACAAGGTGAGTTACCTAAATAGATTGTGAAATTACATTACTGTGATGGGGATAAATGCACTGAAATGTATTTCTCAGCATTAGAGGAATCAGAATACAACATAATAATCCAACACAATCTGCCTTTTCAAGGTAGCTAGTTTAGTAACAGACAAACAAGAGGAAGCAAAATCCAATCAAGACAAGCATTCTTCTCCCCTGTTGTTGTCATATTTCTCTGTCATCATTTCCTTTGCTGCTGTTTATTTCCCTTGAAACTATTACCTGTGGTTTTTTCCACTTTCTGCCAATATCACAATATCCAAATTTAGACCATGATCTCTCCCATCTTTTCTCTATTACTAAGCAGATACCAAAGTGGAGAAAGTGAACATGCTGTCTATGACTGTGTTGGGTTTGAGAGTCCTGTTGGCAAAAAGTATTGCCTTCAATACACTCATGAGTATCAAGTTGTTTCTTTTCTGAGGTAAGGAAGCACATAGCTGCATCTGTAGAAATACTGGAAGCACACACCAGGAATGACCACCTGTCTTTGTGTAATTCTCTAACCTCATCAGCAATGATACCTGTTGATCTGCTCCTGTTTCCTTTAAATAACTCTTACAGGTTTCTGGGGAAAACAACAACAACAATAATAATAATACCTCCAAACAACCAAAAAAACCACCAAACAAAACACAAAACCCAACTAACTTCAACATCCTCACCAAACCATAAATTAAACAGCCCCATTCTGTATCCAAAGCCCAGTTCTTGGTGGCTAGTCCCCAAATTTTCTTTGCATGAAACTTGCTTTGCCGGAGTAACTCAGGTGTTACCAAAAGTGCCTAAGATATCTCAATGACTATTTCAAGTGGCAGAGCACAAAGCCTGGAGAAAAATAAAGACAAATAAGGAGTCAAAAACAAGGTGCCCAAAACATAAACATGTGACATAGTAGGAGAAAGGAGAGGAGGGGGGAGGATTTTTAAATTATCGATTTTTAAGTATCCAGAGAGGCACAAAAGATAGTCCAGCCTAACTTTTGTGAGTCTACATATCTTGATCTGACAGCTATCAAACAGTGGCATGTAGGCCCAATTGCATTGAATGGAGTTTAAAACACACTTTGTTCTTCCAGACAGTGGGGAAGCAAGGCAACAGCAATCTGAAGAATGGCAGGAGAGAGCATGTACCAGCATCACGATGGGTTGAACAGCCAATGTCACATCTACTGGCAATACCTAGACCACAATACAACACCTTCCCCTTAAGACATTTTATACTGTTGAATCCTGCCTAGCTAGTTCATTTAGTTTGAAGAATTGCAAATGATCCTGCTGTTTCTTTTTCTCTGTGAACTGAGGAGAGTGTATTTTTCCTCATCCTCCTGCTAAGCAGAAATTGATGTCCCCACTCTTACAGCATTTTTCATAGAAGCATCCAACCTGCTTCAATAGTTTTGAAAAAATCAATCCTCACTATAGATACATGACCCTTTTAAAACCCTTTTTACAGGCATGTTGCATTGCTATCTGTAGAACTGGTGCATTACTGCCGAGATAATTCAGGCACAGTAGATGCTATTTATAGCTTTAATGTGTCTCAGGTAGCTTTAACGGCAATAAATTTATAGTGTAGATGAGAAGACCTGTGTTGAATCTGAAGTGATTCAATTCAACCAGATAATGTCAAACAATAGGAACATTTCTTTATGAAACCTGTATTTCTTCTGTAAAGTGTATGGCACATGCATTTTAGGTTACTGTAATAGTGACCAAAATAAAGTTTTACAAAGCGAAAATGCTGTGGTTTGTTCTGTGCTTTTTCTTCAAATTTGGGATGGAGATTGCTTAAATCCAACTGTCCTAATGACCAGTGGGATTAGAAATACAACATTTCCTGTTGCCTGAATTTGTTATTGTTATTTGACCTTGTAGAGGGAAGTGGAGATTGTCTTTGGTGCATGAAAATGGCCATGAATTCTAGAATTAAGAGATTCAAATGAGGGCTGATCTTTCAGAATTTGTCTTAAGAGACCCCAACAAGACTTTTTGTATCATAGCAGAAGTGGACACATGTCTAAGGAGAAATCAGTTAGCAGATAGCTTGATAAAAGCACGAGGAAGGAAAATACACATCTCAGAAGAGAAAAATTATGCTGGTTCTTTTCTACTCATCAATACTAGGAAGAGGCCAACAGGAAATAAGGTAAGGTAGTTTGATGGAGGTTTCCATAGCATAGCAACTTGGTTATTAGTCAAAAACACCCCAACACACGCATTCCGCAACTGATCTTTCTCTCACAAGCAACAGGCAGGATGCTGTGGTCAACACTGATGACTAAGTTACACCATGCAAGATTAACTCCCCCTTGTTTTGAAAAACACGTTAACCACATCCTGAAGGGGAAATAAGGTTTTTCACGTATTGACTGAGTTAGTGTTGGCTTCAACACAGCCTCTACAGAATGCATATAAGGTCTGTTTAAATAAGCTTTGCCAGGTTAGTCCCTCAGATCCTGAAGACACCTAGAGAAAGACCCTCACCCTATGCAGAAGATAAGTCAAATTTTCATGACAAATCCAAACCCACTAAAATGCTTATTTAGTACATTCTACCACCATAGTGACAAAGGATGAGGAAAAGGGTGAGGTACTGAGTGCCACCTTTGCCCCAGTCTTTAATAGCCAGACCAGTTATCAGCCCCCTGAGCAGGAAGACAGGAATGGAGAGCAGAATAAACCCCTTATAGTCCAGGAGGAAACAGTTAATGACCTACTATGCCACTTGTATGCTCACAAGTCGATGGGACCGGACAGGATTAATCCAAGGGTACTGAGGGAGTTGGTGAATGAGCTTTCGAAGACACTCTCCATCATTTACCAGCAGTCCTGGTTAACAGGGGAGGTCCCGGAAGACTGGAGACTCACAAGTGTGACGCCCATCTACAAGAAGGGCCGGAAGGAGGATCCGAGGAACTACAGGCCGATCAGCCTGACCTTGGTACTGGGGAAGATTATTGAGTGGTTCACCTTGAGTGAGCCCACACAGCAGGTGCAAGACCTAGACCAAGTTGGAACTAGACGATCTTTAAGGTCCCTTCCAACCCTAACCATTCTATGATTCTGTGATTCTATAACCAGGGGATCGGGACCAGTCAGCATGGCTTCCTGAAGGACAGGTCCTGCTTGACCAACCTGATCTCCTTCTATGAGCGGGTGACCTGTGTGGTGGATGAGGGGAAGGCTGTGGATGTTGTCTCTCTGGACTGTAGTAAAGCCTTTGACACGGTCTCCCACAGCATCTCCTAAAGAAGTTGGCAGCTCATGGCTTAGACAGATGGGCTCTTCACTGGGTTAAAAACTGGCTGGAGGGCAGAGCACAGAGGGTTGTGGTAAATGGAGTTAAGTCTGGTTGGTGGCTGGTCACAAGTGGTGTCCCCCAGGGCTCAGTGTTGGGGCCGGTCTTGTTTAACATATTTATCAATGATCTGGATGAGGGGATTGCAAACTCAGTCAGTTTGCAGACAACACCAAGTAGGGTGGAAGTGTTGATCTGCTGGAGGGTAGGAGAGCCCTGCAGAATGACCTGGACAGGCTGGATCCATGGGCTGAGGTCAGTTGTATGAGGTTCAACAAGGCCAAGTGCCGGGTCCTGCATTTAGGTCACAACAACCCCCGGCAGCGCTACAGGCCTGGGGAAGAGTGGCTGGAAAGACGTCAGGCAGACAGAGACCTGGGGATGTTGGTTGATGGCAGCTGAATATGAGCCAGCGAGTGCCCAGGTGGCCCAGAATGTCAATGGCATCCTGGCCTGTATCATGACCAGTGTGGTCAGCAGGAGCAGGGCAGTGATTGTGCCCCTGTACTGGGCACTGGTGAGGCCGCACCTCGAGTACTATGTTCAGTTTTAGGCCCTCCACTCCAGGAAGGACATAGAGATGCTGGAGCGTGTCCAGAGAAGGGTGACAAAGATGAAGAAGGGTTTGGATACCAAGTCTGATCAGGAGCGGCTGGA